GAGAGACAGCCTGCCTGATTCAAATCCTAGCTTCAGATTTTTTTGCTCTTCACTGGGGCTGTTCCCAAATACTCCAATTGTCCTTCTGCCGGGGTAGATGGTAGATTACATTCCCCGCCACCTTGAACGTGTGCGTGACTATGTGACTTACTTTAATTCTTTGGTGAGCAGAAGTGATGTGTCACTTCTGGGCAAAAATTAGTAAGCCCTCCTGACTCAAGAGTGGTCCATGGTGGGGCAGTACAGAAATCGCTCAAGTTTGCTAAAAATGCAGGATCTCAGGCCCCTCCCAGGCCTCTTGAATCTAATGTGCATCTAAGGAGCTCCCCAGGTGATTCAGATGCGCATTCAAGTTTGGGAAGCTCTGCTCTAGACATAGAGCATCATTCACCACTTCTTTTTGCCCTGCCACAGTGACTGGTGATGATCCTGATGGGGGAGTTATGGCTACCCCCTGGCCTGACTGAGATGGACAAGAAGTGCAGCATGAGAGAATTAAACCTTTGTTCTCAGCCACTAACCCATAAAGAGTGTTACCTTGCAATGACCTAGCCCATTCTGACATGGTCACTTAGTACTCTGAGACCCTGGGCAAGGTATTTAATCTCCTGTGCCTCAGTTTCCCTGATGTAAAATGGAGATAATAGTACTGAATCAAAGGACTGTAAAGAGGATTAATGAGGTAACATATGAGCACCTAGTAAGGTCTAGGTAAGTATTGGCTTCTATTATTAACATGCTCCATCCCTAAATCTCTACTTCCAGTCTGCTTACCTCAGTGACTGGAGTGTCACAACCTCTGTCCCTGGCAATCCTCTCCCCAAACCACATATACTCCAGGAACAAGTACGAAATCACACATCAGAAAGAGAATGAAAAATTACTTCTTCTCAGAAAGAAGTTGGGGATCTTCATTACAGTCACTTGGCCCACTCATTCATCACCTGTGTCTTCCATCGTTGTCGCTCTCCTACTCTAATATTGCAGATGCTAACCCTCACCCTCTTGCTTACCTTCCCAAATCCTACAGGCCTTTCAAGGCACAGCTGGTCTCCCTCCAGGAAGTCTCCCTAGTATTTGTCTATTACACATAAGGCCTGGCCCTAAACTCAATGCTAATAATAATAAAACACCTAATACTTGTTTATTTTTTGTCTTTCTTTCAAACTCGTGTATGTGATTCTAGCATCTATGTGATTCTAGCATCAAAGGGTTACCAAACGTGTTGCAGAGAAAATTGGGGATGGTATGGAGATAGATTCTGTTAAGATTCTGGTTTTTAAGAATCCAATAGACTTTTGAGATTATAGTAACGGTTCCTAAAGATGATAAATACTTGATAACATTTTATTATGATGATTATGAATAAAATGTATTGTTTATTTGAAACACTAATAAAATGATAAATTCTTTTCTCCTTGCCACTCTCTTAAAGTGTATATAAGGAAACAAAATATTTTAAGGCGGAATAAATATGTCAGTGTCTTGGATCTCTCTTTCACATTTATAAACCAATGTTAAAAAATCATGGTACTGAAGCAATTCACCACAGTTGCACAATGAGCCACATTATTCATTTCCAAAATCACATAACTTGAACAAGCACCTTGGAAATCCAACCTCAACATTTTAGAATCTCTAGGCCAGGGGGCAGCAAACCTTCTCTTAAAGGGCCAGACAGGAAGTAGTTAGGCTTTGGGAGCCATAGACAGGTCTCTGTCACAACCACTCAATTCTGCCATTGTTGTCAGAGGCAGCCCTAGACAACAGAGAAACAAACGGGCATGGCTGCGTTCCAAAAAACCTGAATTTATGGGCTCCGAAATTTAAATTTCATTTAATGCTCACCAGTCACTAAATTATTTTGATTTTTTTCAGCCTTTTAAAAAGGTAAGCCATTTTTAACTTGTGAGTGGTACCAAAATAGGCAGCAGGCTGGGTTTGGCCCATGGGCCATTCTTGCCAACTCCTGCCCTGGACTCCCAAGTTCATGTTTCTTCAACTGCAACGTTCACTTAAAAATCAGGTAAGAAGTAATCCCCTGAGCCTGTTTTTATTAACTCCATTTGAAAAAACGTAAGATCCTAAAGATGTCAAACTTTCACCAGAACTTATACCCATAAAAATAACATCACCCATCACCCCTTCCCTCACCACATACAGTTAACAGTTATGGGTTAGAAAATAGTTGGCAGCTGTCTTCATGGATGAAGTCAATGTAGTCTCATTCCTCTGCCAAAAGGCAGGGAAACCAGTTCTCGGTGCCTCTTCTCCAGTTGCTGCAGAATGACGGGGAAGGACAAGCTTTGGCTTCAACGTGGATTTTTAACCGGGAATCTCACTACTTTAAAACATTTTTAATTTTTTTTTTTTAAGAGCCTTGGCTTTTGCTATTTTTACTGATGCTCATTTTAAACGTAGCAGTGCTTGAAACATTTTAAGTCTAGATGTCTCTATGGAAACCCAAGAAAACTATTTTATGGCCAAATGACTACCTAGAATTACACATCCTATTGGATCACTACGGGCCATCTGTGATTCCAGAAACATCTTAGGCCTATTTTCCCAAACTCTATTTTTATCAGATATAATTAAGTTGATATAATTATTAGTTTTGCTGAGGCGGTCAAGAGAGAAAGAACTAATTTCTGATACTTCTTTCAATTTTTTATTAAGACATCCCTCTTTAAAACTGTCTTATTAGGGAATTTTGTAAATTTTGGCAAACATAATAAAAAATAAAGCATACAATCGAATAGTTTAACAGTTGCTTTGAAATTTATGTCATTAATTTTCTTCCCTTCCTTTCTGCCAATGTCAAATACACTTAAAAAACAATGTAACTGTTTCCCAATCCAAACTGTTTATTCATTGAAAATGAAAAAAATAAAAAACACACAATCTATAAAAATAAAAGTGTAATATGCAAATCGACTGAACAGCAGAACGACCGTCCAGAAAACCACAACCATGCTATGACACACACTGGCGCCAGGCCAGCCAAGGCAGGTGAGATGCGATTGGTGGGGGCGGGGGGGTGCCATTGCCCCACAATCGCCCCACAGAGGGAAGCCCAGGCCACTGGCCAGCGGGGCGATCAATCAGGGGGCTCCGCAATCTCCTTAAAGAGGGAGGCCCAGGCTACCCTCTGTGTGGCGATCGATGGGGGGGGGGGAGGGGGAGGCTGCAAGGCAGCTGGGGCTCCTAAGGCCTACCCTTGCACAAATTTCATGCATCGGGCCTCTAGTAATTATATAGTGTAGCATCAGATAAAATCTTCACCAGGTGAAGGAAGATGGCTTTTGGGTACCTCCAGATATGACACTCTGAGAACATAACCTCACCTAGAAGGCATAACCTGAATCTAATCATGACTAAACCCTATTATGAAGGAAAAAAGGAAAAGTTGGGGCAGATGGACTGTATGATTTTTTTAAATGTCCTAAAAAACAGAGAGGCCATGGAAATGTTCAACTAAAAGAAACTAAAGACACATGAGACACATGATATTGGACCCCAGAATGATCTAACATTGCAGGGGAGAGTAGGGGGTGGCATAGTAGATAAAAGTAATCTATCAATGTGATTATATAAGAGAATATCCTATGCTTAGGAAATACTGAAACATTTCAGGGTAAAGGACCGGGATGTATGATGCATGTAATTTTGTACCAAATGGTTCAGAAAAACCATTATATATCAATAGAGAAAGAAGAAAGCGAGCAAATAATAAAGCTAAAGGTGTAAAATGTTAACAATAGGTTTGAAGAATAAGGGATACATAGGTATTTTTGCAACTTTGCTATCATTTGAAATTATTTCCAAACAGAGAATTTAAGGAAAAATGAACAGTTCTTGCCTACATTGGCTGTCTAATATGTCTCCATGATATTCCAAATACAACACAGGAAGTGATGCTTGCGCCAAGTAACATGAAAGTGCAAAGATATTTTAACATGATCTCTTATCAGTGATTGAAGCCTGCCAGAGCATTATATACCACCCATTCTCAGCAGAGTCCATTGCAAAAACCAGTAAACATTGGATACTCTAGCAACATATATGCAATCACTTGCCAGTAATCTCTCTAAATAGGGTAGAAATTCTAAAACCTTTTTGCATCCCACAACTTCCAGAATTATCTCATACACAAAGCAAGTCTCTCAGCTAGTCTCTTAGATAGTCACTATCAGTATCGATCATTTGGAGTCAATCTTTTTAACTGGAGCATCTTAATATTTTAAGCCATGTCTAAGTAGCTGGAGAATGTAGTACTCAGAAAGCAGGATCGCCTCATCAGATATCCACAACTCCTCCCCACCACCTCGAAATTGCCGTCAGAATTCCTCAGCCTTAATGTCTATGACCCCATAATGGTCCTATACCAGCACAGGAGGTGCCAACCTCCAATCTGCAATACACCATTTATACTGACCCCCCCCCCCCCCAAATAATAATAATTAGGCAGGGAACTGTGTCTAAGACCAAAAATTTAGGAGACTTTTCTAAGTCAGTCACTGGGTAATTAAAAAGGTCATAACCAAAATTAAAATTTTCAGCCATGCTTAAGAATTAGAAAATACCCACTCTCCAAAACACAACAAAACCAGAACATATATATATTGGTAAGTCTTTTCTATTCTTTCCTGTTTATAGTTTTACTACTTTCTAGATCCTTTTAGTAGTGACTATCTCTGAGCTAAAATAGCCACATACCATTTTTGGTTTTGGCTTTTTACCCTAGATATTCTCTTTATTGCTCATTTCCCCCAAAATTCCAATTAATAATTCTATTTAACACTTGTTTACTAAGAACCTACTTGGCATACGATGCTTAACCAGAAATACTGGGTGGTATTCTCTGGAGGAAAGATTCCAAGTTTTTTTGTCTGCAAATAATCCTCCAGAAAATGATATGAAGACAATAAGTGCAATGACGTCTGCTTGCCGAAAAGCACAAGGAGCCAGAAATGAATTATGACCGACTACAAATAGGAATAAACTAGTCAAAGCACTAAAATTTAACGAGAGGATAATCTTAAAAGAAGGGGAAATTGAAGAGAAGTTACATGTAACATAGATTTAAAATCATGCTTATTCTTCTCCATAAAACTCAAATGCAGTTAAAAACGCACACGTACAAAATAGAGCAATTATAAATCCTCTGAAGCATGTCACTGTGATTAGCTGCTTCTCTCAGCAACATAAAAAGACTTTCACAATTACTTTCCAGCCTGTAATGTAATTCAAAACAAACAAGTCAGAGACATCGCTCAAATGGCAGAACCAACAATACAGATGCTTTGTATCAAGGAAATGAACCCACTGAAGAAATGCAACTGAGGAGCTGCTGTCCAGGGCCTGGAGCCGGGCTTCCGGTAGAACGTGGAGGCCCCCTTCTGGGCAGATGAGGAGCACTGCAGCCCAGCTCTGAGCACTGCAGCCCAGCTCTGCAGCACCCCACGCCAGTCAGCGCGAATATCTGGGAGTGCCTGCTGTGGATACCCTTTCCAGTGCTGTGTTCACACTGTACAATTTCAGACTTTAAATTCTAAATCTGAATTTTTATAAAAAGAAAGAACTGTATACGATTTCAGATCAAAGTAACCATTCTATTTAATTGTGCACCAGCCCTAGCTGGTTTGGCTCACTGGATAGAGCGTCGGCCTGGGGACTGAAGAGTCCCGGGTTCGATTCCGGTCAAGGGAATGTACCTTGGTTGCAGGCACAACCCCAGTAGGGGGTGTGCAGGAGGCAGCTTATCGATGCTTCTCTCTCATCGATGTTTCTGACTCTCTATCCCTCTCCCTTCCTCTCTGTAAAAAATCAATAAAATATATATTTTTTAAAAATGATTGTGCATCCAGCATTCCCACCACCAATGGCATGCCCATTCTTTTTGCCTAATCTGGACCACCCTCTCACATGCTGTATAATCTATTCTGCTTAGTATCTGTCTCCCCTGCTAGAACATAAGCTCCATGAGGGCAGGATGCTTTGTTTTGTTCACTGATTCCCAATACAGTTGCTCAATAACAAAGAAGGGATTGTCCCCTTTATGCTTTTATCTTCTATTTTTAACATTATCCATCTTCAAAAAAGGCACAAATACGGTTTTATTTTAGCAATATGTTGCAATTTAAAATGACACTTAAGCACTTGTTTTAGAATATGCATTTTCTCTAAATGCTTTATAAAGGCAAAAATCTGTTCAAAAGACCATATAATCATGGTCTACAGGTATGCAACGTAGACAATTTCCAAGAACGTCACGGGCCCCCAACACTCTGGGAGAACATGGTGGCTGCAAAGAATGAAGAATGCAATTCTGCAATGCCAGGCGTGGGGCAGGGGTCCGCAGTGGCACAGCCCGGTGCAGACACGCCAGGTAATTGCACCTGCAGGTACCTGCTCTGACAGCACTGTCCTGAACTGGTGATGCTTTTGGCAAGAAGTGCATTGTCCTGCTTATTAATTTCTAAAACCTCAAGCTTTTACTTTCCAGCTTGTGGAAAAACTAATTAATAGTTTATTGCAATTGTCAGACTTTGTCAAAGTGTTCATTTGTTCCTTTAACAGAGGAAATGATGAGAGACCATTTTTCCCACAGGTTAAGGACGATATATAACATCTGATTCAATGATGTCACCAGCATTCAGGCAAGAATTTCATCCAGGGGCATTAGTCCTTTGTTAGAACAAACTCAGGATCTCTGACACTCCTTTTTCCGAACCTTTGATTTTGGTGCTGTGAGAAGGACAGAAAAGAAAAAGAGAAGGTGAAGAGGCAGGCCGTGTCAGACTCTCTTTGTCCTGATTTGTTTGAAGTGAGGTACTTTATATACAGTAGGGAACACTGACCGTTTGGATTTTCTTGTTTGTAGAAGTTCTTTAACATTTCCACTGCTTCCTCAGCCCGATACCCCGGAATGCACTGATGAAAAGAGAAAGTTCAGAATGAGCAGAGGCCTATGATAATGTGTGTTGTGTTCCATAAAAAAAAGGCAATATATACATAATTACATAAAAAGATCATGTTAATACACTTTGTGGATATTAGTAACACGGGAAGCATGTTTCCAAATGAATAGCTATCTGGCCTGTCAAATATCACTCTCAATCAAATAATTATTATTTCTCAATTAACTACTATTGAAGTTATGAACTATGTGATCTTGGGTAAGATTCTTAAAGTCTCTATGCCTCAGTTTCCTCATATGTAAAATGTATTTAATTATAGCAATTTAACCCAGAAGGATTTGTGAGGATTCAATAAAATTAAATAAAATCATGCCTGTCAAGTACTTAGCACATCATAAGGGCTCATTAAGCATTAATTATTTTTATCTGCTCTTATTTACTGTGGCCCATTAAGTGTTTGATACTATAGAGCTATGGTTGGCTGTCCACAGCTAAAAATGGTTAGCTAAAAAGGGGTTTTATATTTTTAAAGTGTTAAAGAAATAAGAATATGCGAGAGAGACATAAATGGTGCACAAAGATTAAAATATTTACTATCAGGCTCCTTACAGGGGAAAAAAATTGTCAATCCTTACTTACTATAGAGGATTTTTTAAGTGTTCACTTTGTGCTATCTTGGTACCTAATTGGGAGAAAAGAACAACATGGAAGAAAGCGAAATTGTGGTAACGTAAGGATCTGAAACTTGAACTTGCCTTAATGATAGAGAACATTTAAAGAGACTAAACAGAGCATATTAGGGAAAGAATAAGAACAAGCTTGGGTTGTATGTGAGGAAACCAGCTGATGGGGCAGGGGCGATTATTAAGGGAGTATAAGGAAAGAAATTAGAGATAAAACAAAGTAAAAATATATAGGGCTTTGAAAGCTTGTCGCAGGAGTTTGAACTTGATACATTGCACCCTTCTGAGATGCATGAAAGGATAAGAGCAGAAACTTCAGGGAGGCCCGCCTGGAGGCAGCATACAGGACAGGAGGGACCCAGCGAGCAGCAGCACAGGGGGCTGGCAGGCTCGGTCTGCTGCTCAAAATGAGTCCCTTTCTCCTGTGCCTACAGAGGCTGCATAAACCTTCCCCATCAAAACAAATAACCTCCTACGAGTTCAATACATTTAGATTCCACATATAAGTGAAATCCTGCAGTATTTATCTTTTTCTGTCTGACTTTGGATAATACCCTAGATATACTACAGTTGCTATGAGAGTAGAGTTTAAATGTTCTCACCAGAGCAATAATTACAACATGGTAACTATGTGAGGTGAAGGATGTGTTAACTCACCTTATTTTGGTAAACTTGTCACAATATATACATGTATCAAATCATCATGTTTTACAGCTTCAACTTACACAACGCTAGATGTCAACAATAGCTCAATAAAGCTGGGGAAAACAGCCCAATGACCTTCCTTCTACCCTGCGCCCAGGCAAGCTGCTCCCCCGCTGCTCCCTGAGAATTTTTCAGAATCATGGCCTTCACTTTGGGGGCTCTCATTTCCTCTTCAACCTCACCCTCGCTGGCCTGTGCCCCCAGGACTCCACTGGAACTACCCGCTCAGACATCAAGGGCAGGGAAAATATAAAAATACAGGTATTGATTGCTACGCACCAAAAATAGTATGCGGCAATCGAGCAAAATTATTGAATTTGTGCAAAAACACTGTGTTTATGGTAAACAGCATCTACTGTCACTGTCAGAGGCCAAGCTTCACACAAACTTGGTAGAGCAGGGAGCTGGGAACACTCACGGAGTGAAAACGCCAACAGCGGCAGTGTCCTCGGGCATGCCTCCCAGCCTGGGCGAAAGTTGTCAGAAGATCCCTCGGAAGGCTGGGCACTCTCCTCCAGCAGAGGTTCGGTTGATTCTGAGCTGGGCACGCACCCGGAAATGACTGCCTGTCACTCACACTGAACTCGACCAGCAGTCCTGAGAGCCTGTCTAGTTCTATCATGGTTTCTGGTATACCCACCACATGCTCACCATCCACAAGCCCATGATGAGATCAAAGTCATCAGAAAGAAAGAAAAAGCGTAACAGTTCATGTTACCTGAAACGGTCTCCCAGTATTTGGTAAATCAGCAGAGGCAATATCTAGAACAGAGCCACAACCACCAAAACGTTCATTCTGACAGCCATACACAACCAGCGGGATTTATGTGAGAGAATTAAGGTCCTACAGAGAATGTGCAGTTCAAGACAAAACTAGGATTTACACAGGACATTCTGGAGAGGAACGCTCATGCTACTCTTAAAAACAACTTAGCTTGGGCTTAAGCTTAAACATCATACAATGCAGTTACACAAAAGAGGTTTAAAGGATTTAGAAATTAATATCTCACAATTGCAAAGAGAATGAAAACTAAATATGTCACTGGCAAATGTTCAGTTTGGTGTTCTCTCTGGTTTTTCCTAAATCAGTTGTTTTGGAATCATTAGAGAATCAGAGCCAACAAAGAGGCAGGAATTTAATCCAGAGATTTTCACCTTGTAAAGATAACATATGGTTACCTGTGATTTCCCCAAATAAAGTATGTCCTGTGGCCCCGTACAAAACGGGCTAAAGCTGAACCACTCTGTACAGCAGGATGGGGACAGAATCCTGTTGACCATAACTGGCCTCTTTATCAAGATTGCACATTTTATCAGACTCAAAACCCTCTGTATTTTTTTTTAAGTGATCAAATGTTTCACCCATACACAGTAAAATATGTAGATAAAAACATGCAAGTGTGAAACTGAGTTTTAAATTATTACATACATTTTTTAAATCTTTAGAGACTAACTTGCAGCACTCAATATGTGTCACTTACTCTATGAAATACAAAGAGCTGTAACCATCAATTTTCCATTTATTTACAATGATATCATAATGTATTGGTTTGTTCTTTAATTTGTATTGACTTCTGACAAAATTTGCCATATATCATAATAGGTATTTATAGCAAAAGTAAATGAATAAAAACCTATAAATGGCCCTAGGTGGTTTGGCAAGGTGGATAGAGTATTGGCCTGCGGACTGAAGGGTCCAGGTTGGATTCCAGTCAAGGGCACATGCCTGGGTTGCTGGCTCCATCCCCATTAGAGGGCATGCAGGAGGCAGCCAATCAATGTTTCTCTCTCATCATTGATGTGTCCATCTCTCTTTCTCTCCCTTCCTCTCTGAAATCAATAAAAATATTTTTTAATTAAAAAAACCCACAAATATATAAACGGAGAAAGAAAATTTTTAAATCATCAAAATCTATTACCCAAAGGAAAGCCTTAGGTGCATTTTTTTTTCAGACCTTTCCTTATGTAGTTTTATCCTATTTTAACTTAAATTATGATTTATTCTTCTATTACAGTTCAAATTAGTGCTAAGCTTTTCTATCTCTAGCTTATATACTAGTTACATGCTTATAGACATTTTTTAAAAAGGTTATTTTACTATTTAAAAAACTTTCTAAAGCTTTTTGGCCTTCACCTCCTAGAATTTGTTTCGTAAGTCTCTGTAGGGACAGGTTACCTGTCCGGCCACTTTCAAGTTCACAGGAAGGGTACAGACATTAGCCCAAGGATACTCATGAGGCGGAGGGCAGCTGCGCACATGATGCATGGCTCCACCGTGACGTACAGCACCGTGCGCTCGAACACCGCCGAGGGGCTCCGGCCGCTCCCCCGGCACCAGGCTAGGGCCTGGTCGATGGCCACCATTTCTGCATGTCGAGTAGCCTGAAAAGAGAGAGGAGCTTGCCTTGACAATGTTTGCTACACGTAACTGTATTCTGCAAATATTCAAAAATAAATACCGAAAAAATTGGGCCTCCTGTTTCTGCCAACGTCTTAAAGAATGGAGGTTTCAGGGCACCCTTAGCAGTTGACAACATAGTCCCCAGGTCAAGTACCGTAACATCACCCCCCAAAAATAAATTAATTAAAAAAAAATAACATCACCAATAAAGACATTTCTAAAAGATGTGTCTAAAAAAAAAATGATCCTAGTATTTCTGAATATTTTAGGGAAAGCTTGAAACTTTCATAAGAATGTGCTCCAGTTTCAAATGTTTTCAAGGTTGTCACTGACTTCACTCTAAGCAAATCTACATTTAGTTTTTACTGAATGTCTCGCATTTTCTTTGGGATAAGATTTTATATACTGGCAGATTTTTGGTATAGCTCTCAGATACCTCATGTAAGCAGTAGAATACAGGAGAAATCACACAGCACTTGGAATCAACCACGTCTAAATATGAATCCTTACTGTGACATTACTAATTATGTGGCCTTGAGCAAGTTACATATCTTCTCTAAGTCTTGGTTTACCGATAGGTAAAATGGGGTACAATGGTCTCTATACCTCTCAAAGCAATCTGAATTATGGGAAGCACATGCTGTATAATGCTATAATATACTCTGCTATGCAATAATTATTTATAACTAGAGGCCTGGTGTATGAATTCGTGCATGGGTGGGGTTCCTAGGCCTGACCAGTGATCGAGGCCGTCTCGCCTAGTCCCAATCAGGGCCGGCCGGCTGGGAGGAGGGACTGCAGGAGGTTGGCTGGCCGCAGGAGATTGCTGTGGGAGTACACTGATCACCCGGACGGCCAGGGGGACAGACTATGGGAGGTTGGCTGTGGGAGCACACTGACCACCAGGGGGCAGCTCCTGCATTGAGTGTCTGCCCCCTGGTGGTCAGTGTGTGTCATAGTGACAGGTCGACCGGTTGTTCGGTGGACTGGTCACTTAAGCTTTTATTTATATATATATATATATATACTCATGATCATCACATTTATCAACAAACTTATATTGAGTGTTATCTATGTCCAAGCCACTGTGCTAAATTCTGTGTGGAATAAAAACTCTCTGTCCTCAACAAGACTAAAGTCTGATAGGGTAAACAGAAAGTTGCTCATCTACCTGTGACCAAGGACAGGGTGTGAAAAATGCTGGCACAATGGCCCAAGTACCATGAAAGCCAGGATTATAAACTCAGAGTCAGAAGGGATTTTAGAAAAGAGGTTCCCAAACCTGGAGGCATACCAGAACCCATCGGGGAGCTTGAAAAAGTTTCCCTAACTTGAGTGCTTTTTATAAATCAGATTCAGAATGACTAAATCAAATCTCCCCATAGTTCTCAATAAGTAATTGTTGGAATGGATCATATTAAGCAACTTCCTCTTTTATGGCAGAAGAACCAGAAGCTAAGACAGAACGTATTAAAGCCGCACAATGGAACAGGTGATGACGGTGGTAACAGGGGAGTGGAGGTGGCATTAAAGCCAAAGTAGGACTCAGGTCTCCTCATTTAGGGTCAGGAGTCTTTCTATACTGGGATTATAGGGTATCTAGTATAGGACACAGAATACCAAAAAAATCCAGGTTAATTTCAAAGTAAAGAAGAAACACATGTCATGGACCGTAAGATGGATATTGTTAGGACATTCAAAGTTCTTATGTTAAAGATACTGTGCCAAATAAATCACAAAATACAAATGGGGAGATATGATAATTATCTAAAATACAAAATTCTACTCCCAAATATAGTATCTAATTGCTGTATTATGTTTATTACTTATCTCATGGGTATTTTGACACCCACATAACTGCTTTGGGAATCTGTGTTCCCACTTTGCATGTGTTTTGCTAAGTCTCCGTTTTGTCTTTGATAGATAAGATGGATGAACCTGAAAGTCCACATAGCACTAGCACCAACACCAGCTTATTCCCTGGCTGGCAAGGTCACACAACAAGGTCAAAGTCTGTGAGAGTGGGCTTCTGCTCTCCTTGAGTCCACCGGGTACTTCTTATAATCATAAAATCTGACACTTCATCTATAGTTACTGGGACACACTGTTGTGATACCACATTCAAGAAGGGCTGCCTTAATTCATGAACTTCCCACCCTAGCCACAATGAATGAAAAGTCTCACAACCTAGTAAAGTGTACATACTCCATGTAGTGGAGACTTCATCCCACTGAATTATATGAAATAGAAATAGCTTCTTTACACATCCTTTTAGAGCTACTAAAGAATGCGATATGAGTTAAAGAGAGATGTTTTATAAAGTGAAATTTTCCTATATTAGCTTTGCTTAAAATGGAGAAGACTCATTTCTTCTACACTGACATACCAATGTAATAAAATTGCCTCTTAGTTTTTCACTCAAGTGTTAAAGTCAACATGTGTCACTTTTAGAATCAGAAAAAAAAAAGGCATTCAAAAAAAGAGATGTTTAGGGAAACTACCCTTCCACTGATACCTTATTGGACTCTACAGAGACCCATCGTCTCACCAGCTGTGATAACTGCATCCACTTTTACTGTCACTGCCCTGTATATGCAATTATACTCACGTACATTTTTGGTTTGGTTAACTTCATTCCTTCCTTTCCCCACAACTTCATTGTTGTAGACCATAAGGCAGCCAACAGGAACTTCAATATTTTCTAGGGCTTCTTTGGCCTGAAAAACAAAGTGGAAAATCTAAGATGTAATGTTCAATACTTGAAAGGACTACAGGAAAGAAATAGGTGTCCATATGGAGGGAGATCAGGAACAAATCCCTTCATAGGTCCTGAGCCCCTGATGTATTTTTCCTCATTGGAAGCAGAGGTGATCAAAAGACTTATTGACTCTTGTTCTTAACACATTGTTTGCGGGTAGTTTTTATGTCCCGCGCTCTACTACACTGGTAGAACGTATAAATACGTAAAACGTATAAAGACTTATTGACTCTTGTTCTTAAATTTCCAGGGTCTATGCACCTTTTCAGAGAGAGTATATATATATATATATTTGCAAAGAGGTAGAAGAATAAATGATATAAATCCTTTCTTAAAAATCTTTCCTTGTTGAAATTCTACTTGCTTAATTTTGTTCTCCAAAAAGGACAGAAAATATCCTCTAGCGTTCCAGTAACATACAGGTGATTTCTGCTCTAAGGGAGACAAGGAAAGCTGAGGAGCACTCTAGGGGAAAATGGCTCAACCACCTTGGAGAAATTTTGGAAGTTTCCTTTAAAAGTAAACAAAGGTATCGCCTATGGACAAATTCTACTCCTGAGTGTTTCTTTAAGAAAAGGGATTGTATATCTACCAAAAAAAAACAACAGCAAAAGAATGGTCATAATAGATTGATTCGCAATAGCCCAAATCTGGAAATAGCACAGGTGTCCATCAACAAAGGAATGGATGAACCACCTGTGGTCTACGCACACAGTGGCATACAACCCAGCAATAAAAAGGAATGAAGTGCTGATACACACATCAACACACATGAGTCTCAGACATGCTGGATAAAAGAAGTTCAACACAAAGCAGAGGATGGCCCCCATGAGAAGTACTCGACTAGACAAAACTAAACTACAATGAGAGAAATTGGAGCGGTGGTTGCCTCCTGGAAAGGGATGTGTAGATTGATCGGTTGGAAAGGGACATAAGGAAATTGGGTTACACAGATGCTTACATCTCTCAAAACTGAATGAACAATGCCTTTAAGACCTATGCATTTCACTGCATGTAAAGTACACCCCAAATGAAAAATAAGCTGAGGAACAACTCCTCCACCACCATCCTGGGAATGGCAAACTAATTATTCTATTTGCAAAGTCTCCCCTCTATCACCAGCTGCCATTTTACTTCTAGCCCTTCTGCTGAGTGAACCACTGTAGCTCCAGGGCCCAGGACAGTAAAGAATACATTTTGGGGGCAGAGAACGGAAGCAGGCAGGTCTTATCTGGGAATGTCCTGATAATGCCACTGAGGGAGAATAAAGGAAGAGTGCAACCCTTTAGATTTCCATCTCAGTACAGTTAAAAGAATCCAAGGACAGCTGTTCCAGGAAAGGCACGGCATTTCTAATTTTGGCAGGCCAGAAGACACTTTAGAAGACTAGATTCCCATGTAAGTGTAGGGAGGGCATACACACACACACACCATAGGCACATGTACTGAAAAGTTGAAGGCACTGCTGAAAACAGTGTTCTGTCTCCTGCACTAGCCTCTTACTTCCAGCTATACTTTATTTATAATAGCAATAACTTCTTTTCATAATGTTAACATGGGCTCCTTAGCTACTTCAAGCATGCTCAACTGACACTTTTCATTTGGCCAAAAGAGGAAAAAGGAGAGGTACATAGTAGTGTGTGAACTGAACCTCTCCTTTCCCCTCTGGAGTGGTGGGGTAGGGCTGGGGCATGGTGAGACGTAAATGGCAGTATATAAAGCAGTAAGACTACATCCTTCAGAACTGTGTCACGAACTACCCCCTGGCTAATCTTATCCCTGTAAAAACAGTGAAAGCATGCCAAGTTTGAAAGTTTAAAGCCAGGAGAAGGACTGACAGCAGGGAGGATGGTGATGCTAAGTGTCAGTGCAGTTAAGGCAATCATCACACAAAGGTGCAACTGTTGGGGTCCAGCCCCAGCAGGTCCAGGGGTTCCCAAAGGTATGGACGGAGTCGGCGAAGAAGGAATGACATGGAGACAGCGTTCAGTTGATCAGCATAGCGAGGTTCTTTTTTTTTGTCCTCTTACATCTGTATTTATACCATTTGATCCTATAAGCATGCCTCTACAATCACATCATAGTATGTTTGTTTTGGGTAACCTTCTACAGTTCCTTGTTTCATTTCCATAGTTTCTTATCTGACCTTTGCCAAAAATCCTGTCTCTATCTAGTTCTGTTGATTTTAATCTTGTCTAGGTTAATCTCTGTGTTCCATTACAAGGGCTATTCCAAGGTCACTGCTCTACTGATAAGCTACAAGGAAGTGACTGAAAGAGATTATCCTACCCAGTAAAGGTTATGTCCTCCCAGCCCCGCTGCTTGCCTTCCCTGGGACTGCCCTGTGTTGGTGGGTCTCCAGGGGTATAGGCTTTGGTGCTTTCCCTGGTGGGCAGACCCCTGGGGATGTGGGCCCAACAAGTCCCAAATTTATTGCCATCAGTCTTAGTCCTGTTAATCCCTAACTCCAGGAAAAATCCTCACCTGGGGAAACAACCTTTCTCGGGGAGGTGGTCCTGTTTAAAACACATAGCACTAAGAGGGGGAGCAAACATATGCCATATATGCCAGGTCCCTTGAAACATAAGCTGTGCAGATGTTTCTTCCCTGCAGCGACTGTGTCAGGCAGCAAGGGTGGACAGCTTCCGGCATGCAACTTTTAATTTTTTAGAGAGAGAGAAACATCAATTTGTTGTCCCACTTATTTATGCATTCGTTGGTTGATTCTTGTATATGCCCTGACTGGGGATCAAACCCCCAACCTTGTCATATCAGGATGATGCTCTAATCAACTGAGCTACCCAGCCAGGGCCAATATTGTAATTTCAAATAGCTTAGAATTACACATAACCCCAGTACACATGAGAGATGAATCATTTATATGTTCAAAAAATATGAATCATTTATTTGTTGAGGATCTTGAGAAAAGGAAATTATCCTGATGCAATCACAAGTGTCCTTGTAAGAGAGCGGCACAGAGAGATTTGACCCAGAAAGCAGAAAATAATGTGACGATGGAAGCAGAGAGAAAGATTTGAAGATGCAACAGCTGGCTTTGAAGAGGGAGGAAGTGGCCATGAGCCAAGCAAGGAATGTCCCTCTAGAAGTGATTTTCAACTGGTGTGCCGCAAGAATTTTTAAAACATGCAATACCTGACTAGTAAGGGGCATTGACCTCTTTTCCCTCAGACTGTCAAGTAGAAAAATGACAACAGCCAATACAATAGCTGTCTAGTGTGAACAAAGCAAAATTTTACCAATTTTTGTGTGCTCCAGAATTTTAGTAATTAGTTTGTGTGCCATGATATGAAAAAGGCTAAAAATCACTGCTCTAGAACAAGCATGTCAAACTCGAGGCCCGTGGGCCACATGCGGCCCACAACAAATATTTCTGTGGCCCAGCCAATATAACAGTGTAAGAAAGGTTTTAATAAAAATTTCATAACTTAATTTTTACAACATCCTGTTATACATAATTATTAATAACGAACTACAACATTCTCTAATGACTGGTTACTATCATCATGTTGCATTCATTTCCCTTAAGCGCCTTATGCGCAGGCACACCATTTCTCTCTAATACTAGCAGCGAATATTTTAGCAGCCGATTGCCACAGCATTAGTCTTGTAATGACTTGTTTGGTGTGCGCAACAGGAAATATTTCGCTTTTGGAGAAAAAGAAAAATAGGTTTATTTGTGTTGCGCTAATTAACTTGTGCAGTTATTCAGTGTCTGGTAAGTTAATGTTCAAGAAAAAAATATTAATTTTTATTAAAATGTTCTATTACTTTATGTTAATGATTACTCATTTATTTCAGCCCTTTGTATTCAGCATGTCTCTATCGAAATAAACCTACCTTTCTATGAAAATTGAAGCTTTTGTTTTTTTGCGGCCCACCTAAACTTAAACCTTGTTTATTTGGCCAATGTTAGCCTTTGAGTTTGACATGCTTGCTCTCTAGAATCTGGAAAAGCCCAGGAAATATGTCCTCTAGAGCCTCCAGAGGGCGCTCAGCCCTATTGAAACATTGGTGGCCCAGAGAAACTGCTGACTCCTGGCCTGCAGAAAAACAAGAGAATAAACTTACGGTTTTATGCCACCAAGTTTGTGGCAATTTGTTACAAAGCCATAGGAAACTAATACCCCCTTAAGAGGAATAAAAGACAAACTAAAACTGGAAGGAGATATTTGCAAACCGCATACTGAACAAAGATCTCGTATGTAGACTCTCAAAAATTAAACAAGAAACTCCAAACAAGCCCCTTAAAAAATGGGCAAAATATATTAACAGACATTTGGCCAAAGAAGGCATACAAATGGCAAATAAGTACATGAAAAAATGTCGACAACATTAGCCATTAGGAAAATGCAAATTAAAACCACAATGAGATGGTATTACATACCTATCAGAGTGGCTCAAATGAAAAGTTAAAAACACCAAATGTTGGGAAGGCTATGGAGAAACAGGATCACTCATACACTGCTGGTAGGAATGTAAAATGGTACAGCCACTCTGAAAAACAGTTGGGCAGTTTCTTAAAAAACTAAATATGCCCTTAACACATAACCCAGCAATTGCACTCTTGCACATATAGTTAGCCAGGAAAATGAAATCTTAGGCTCATACGATACATAATTTCATATATAGACACGAATGTTCGTAGAAGTTTTATTCATAACAGCCAAAAACTGGAAATGACCCAAACATCCTTCAGTGGGGGAATGCTGAGACAAACTCCGGTACATCCATACCATGGAAAAACTACACGGCAATAAAAAGGAATGAACTATTGACTGACTCGACAACTTGGATGAATCTCAAGGAAATTATGTTGAATGGAAAAAAAATCTCAAAAGGTTACATATTCTTGTATGTAACATTCCTGAATGACAAAATTATAGGTATGGGGAACAGATAAGTGGCTGCCTGGGTTTAGGGTTGAGAGTAGATGGTGGCCATAAAAGGGCAGCATCAGGGAACCTGTGGTTATGGAGCAGTTCTGGTGGTAATTAAACAAAACTAGACATGTGACAATATTACACAGAACCACACACACACACACACACACACACACGTGCCTATAAAGCTGAGGCAACCTGAATAAACTCAGACTGCATTGATGTCATCTTCCTGGTTTTGATATTGTACTAGTGTTATATAAAATGCAGGAAACTGGGTAAAGAGTATATGGGCCTTCCCTGGACACTTTTTTGCAACTTCCTGTGAAACTATTACTATTTCAAAATGAAAAGTTAAATTAAAAAAAGGTGGAGCAAATGAGAAGTATCTTGGAATGCAGACTAAGAGATGCCTAGTGAAGCAGGAGGAAAACTGGGAGTGTGTGGTGTTATGAAAGACCTGAGGAAAAAACAGGCCGAGAAAGAAGGGTCAGTGATATGGAGGCAGTTTGGGTAGAAGGTGAAAAGGTTAAGAACCAAAAACCTAGAAGAATAAAGAAAAGTTAGGCTGGCAGGGAGGATAGGTGGAAGTTGGGAGGCTGCCAGTGGCAGGTTGAGGAATTTAAAGGTGGGAGAGGAAAAAAGAGCTTCCGAGTGTCATTAGCACAGTGGTTCTCAACCTTCCTAATGCCGAGACCCTTCAGTACAGTTCCTCATGTTGTGGTGACCCCCAACCATAAAATTATTTTTGTTGCTACTTCATAACTGTAATTTCACTACTGTTATGAATCGTAATGTAAATATCTGATATGCAGGATGTATTCAGGCGACCCCTGTGAAAGGGTTGTTCGACCCCCAAAGGGGTCGCGACCCACAGGTTGAGAACCGCTGCATTAGCAGGAACTGCTGTGGTGTAATCTTTGGATTTTGTTACCTTCTACCTAAGAGTTTTCTGGCTCACTTGTTTTTTTTCTCCAGCTTTTTTCTTTCTTTCTTTCATAGGAATTATATCTGGGGACTCATCAAGAGTCTGTGCAAACTGCAGTCAAACCCCCTTTGAGCATCTGATGAAAGTTATGAACTCTCTCACATGGCATGGAACAGGCACGTGCACATAATGTTGTTATATAGTTTCAGGTTAGGAAGCCCTTTTCTAGACAGATAGCTGGCTCATCTCCTCACCCAAGACAAAGTCCTCTATTTCTTGGCACTTGACAGTAACCCTGCTTTGATCAACCACTCCCTTCCTTTTCACCAGCCCACATTGCTTTTGTTCTTTTTAAAATGCAGTAAGCATCCCAAACTGATCTCACTCACTTGCTCAGGACTGTGTTGCCTGTTATCTGATAGCACTTTATACCTGTCTCTAATTTTGGACCCTGGACATGTTACTTATTAACTTTTGCATTGGTGCATGTTTTACGTTCATCCATTAAAAAGTACGTTCCTGGGAGGCAAGCACCCGATCCTCACACTAGCAAACTTGACTTGCTCACCTTTGCAGCCTTAGTACCTGGCACAAGGCCTAAAACATGGGAAACAATTACAGCACAATTGTTGAAATGGATAAGTATCTGTGCTTGATTTCTTTTTGAATTTTCCTCAGACCTAGCACAATATTATACCAATACCAGACACCCAGAAAATGAATACTACAATCCTATATAATAAAAGACTAATATGCAAATTGTCCCCTCTACCGGGAGCTTGACCAGGGGGCGGGCTGGCCTGCCAACCTCCCGTGTCCCCTCCCCCGGCCCAATAGGCCAGCTGGACCCCACCTGTGCACGAATTCATGCACTGGGCCTCTAGTAATATATAATTGATTTATTCTAGAACACTTGCTTTCTCTCAATAGATAGAACTAGATAGATAGATAGATATTGATAAACACACTCACACACTCCATCTTTCTTTTTTCCTAATTATAAAGTGAGATATGTTCAAGGGGGAAAATTTAGGGGTAAAATATCCACATTAAAAAATAAAACCACTTAGTCATTATTCTGTAACAGAAGATTTTCAAGTTTTTTCTATGCCTGCATATACATGTTTGTAGTTTTTTAAAAAGTCAAATAGATTTATACTGTATATACAGGTTCAGCAGTCCATCTTTTCCATTTAGAAATATACACATTTCCACATGTTAGGTAATATTTTTCAGCACATGATTTTTTTAAGGTTGCACAGTGTTCCTCTGTATTCATTTAACTGTTTGACATTTACACTGTTTCAAATCTCCACTATTACAAACAAGTGAAGAACTTCCCTATACAACCCTAACAGATAGATACTATCTGCCCATTTTATAGAAGGCACGGGGCTGGAAGGTTAAGAATCTTAGTTTGCTGTCAGTGGCCATTCTAGGGTTTGCACATAGGCTAGTCTAATCTCTAAGCTCGTATGTATAGTATAAAATAATTTGTATTCTGTTTACTGGGCTGTAATATAAAATAGATTTTTTTTTTTACTATGATTCACTTTCAAAAAAGCATAAGAAACAAGTTTAGAAGAACATTATGTAACAAATACATAGATGCTGTAATGCCTCATGGCTTAGAGAAAAGTGTTTGGCTGTAATAGTGCATGAATGCAGAGAAAATAATGTGACAAGAGAACAGAGAAGGTGCCGAAAACAGTTTCAGGATTGAATCCCCACTGCCAAGCACAGTGTACTCAAGAAACATCTGTGGAGTGAATGAAGATATAATTATGAATTAACTAGAGGCCCAATGCACGAAATTCATGCAAGAGGCCTTCCTTGCCCCGGCTGCTGGCACCGGCTTCCCTCTGGCACCCAGGACCCAGGCTTCCCGCAGCCCCGGCTTTGTCCAGAAGGTAGTCTGGAAGGATGTCTGGTCTAATTAGCATATTACGCTTTTATTATTATTGATAGGGTGTCCCCCAAAAATGTATACACACAATGCCTGTAGATTCTATTACGTCTTGAAACACTGCCTTTATTTTTTTAAATATATTTTATTAATTTTTTACAGAGAGGAAGGGAGAGGGATAGAGAGTTAGAAACACCGATGAGAGAGAAACATCAATCAGCTGCCTCCTGCACACTCCCTACTGGGTATGTGCCCGTAACCAAGGTACATGCCCTTGACCGGAATCGAACCTGGGACCCTTGAGTCCGCAGGCCGACACTCTATCCACTGAGCCAAACCAGTTAGGGCTGAAACACTGCCTTTATAATTATTCAAAGTGTGTATACATTTTTGGGGGACACCTGTATATATGCCGAATGCACTTTTATCCTTGTTAAAAAGCTGGCTGACACACGTAAGTGTGGGGAAAGCTTGGATTATACACAAATATGATTAGAGCCCTCCTCAATCAACAGTCCAGAGCAAGGGAAGGCAGCAGGATGCATGGGTGCATGCATGGATGGATGGATGGATGGTAGCATATGGCTGGCTATACAGGGGCTTGGTTTATCTACTCTACCAGAAACATCCTCAGTTTCCTTCCTTCTACGGGGTCAAGGGGTCATAAATACAAATAATGTGATTTGGCGGATTTACTAGTGTGTTCACAGTAAAGAAGGGAGCGCTGCACGTATGTGCTAACAGCAGCTGAATGGGGACATTTGGCGCATACTTCATGCCAGCCAAAAAGAAACAATTTCTGTATTTCCTCTTTTCCTTCCCCAGAGCCACTGTGGGAATGGCCTCAAGCCAGCTGTTTACCCAGAGAGCGTGGCGCCAAGAGATTATGGTAACAAGAAAGTACATGGGGCGTTTGCTCCAACGATCAGGCTGGGCAGAGAGCCGGAGAAGTTCCCACCCGCGGCAGCGACCTCCCGGGCTCCTCACCATTTGCATGGCCTCCTCCATCCACTTTTCGATCTCCTCCGCTGACACCGAGCACCCGCCGCCGGTAGCTGGCGTGGATGCCTCCTTCGCCTCCATACCGCGCTGGGGCGGCAGCGAGCTCAGCGCCGGAAGCCGGGGCGCCGAGGGAGCCCCCGCCCGGAACCCGGCGCGCATAGGCTGCGGTTTCCGGGGGGATTCGATCGGCGAGGCACTCGGGAGCGATTTCTGGGCGGACCTGGGTGGCCCGGCCCAATCAGTGGAGGCGGCGGCGCGGCGGCCGCACAGAAAGCGCCGCCGGTCTGCTGCAGTCCACGCCCCCTTCCCGCTCGGGTGACAGTCCGCGGAAAGTCGCCTTTGCGATTTCTGGAGAGCGCCCAGCGGGGCCACGGCGTTCTTGCCGGGTCGGTGGTCCAGGGCCGGTGACAGAGAAACGGCTTCCTGGTGCCCCCCCGCCCCTCCCCCTAGGCAGCCCGCACCTCCAGGGCCTGAAGATGCTGAGATCGACGTGGAATTTTCTCAAACGTCACAAAAAGAAATGTATCTTCCTGGGCACGGTCCTCGGAGGTGGGTGACAGCGTTCTTGGAACGGGGCGTGGGGCGGAGGGGATGGGAGAGGGGTGGCTGTCTTCTAAAATGGAGAGGCCGGCGGCCGCGGGCCGGCATAGGTAGAGGGGAGTCGTTCAACCCTCTTTGGGGAGCGGGCGACACACCTCCAGTGCTCCCCGTCTCCCCAGTTGTGGCGCGCGTGCCCGTCGCCCTGACACTGCCCTTACTCTGCTGGTCGCCGGTCCTTTGTTCTCACGGACCTGGGAGAACTCACCACCATAAGTTTCTGTTTAAGGCACCTTTCTCGTATAGACACATGTTGTTGTTTGTTGTTGTTTAATGCTCTTCTGTTGTTTTTCCTGAGAGTCTGGGTTGCTCTTTGGCGCTTTGCTCGGCTTTCCCCCTTCATACAAGTTTCATAATATTCTAGGATCTACCTCGGCTCTGTACGTCGAGTGTTGTGTGAAGGCGATTTGAACGTTTGTAAATAGCACCCTAATGCAGAAGGACAGGACGATAGACACTAGACGACAAAGGCACCAGGCAGTACTCAGCTCTGCTTCTGCTGTTTTGGAACACGAGCTGTGCAGGGAGCTGGGAAGTCGGACGGAGCTCTCCGGGTGTGCCGTCTTCCCCGGCTCCTCGGGGCTGGGATCGACGCCCAGGCAGGACCGAGTTGCAGGGGCTGAAAGGAGATTTAGGAACAGATAACCATCCCGAGAGCCTGTTTTGTCATATGCAATCATTGCATAGTGACAGGAATGTAAAGGAGCGAATAAAACGCCCGGCGAGATACAGGAGGAGAAAATGTAGGAATGTAAAGAAATTTTTAGAATTTGAGTCTTTTTGAGAAATATTGTCACTAACTACATGCTTTGGTTACAGAAACGTGTAAAAAAAACAAGGAGAGAAATTTCCCAAGCAGTTGGGCTGCTTTTCTTTTACTATTACTAGGTTATATTCTATTATTTCCCTCCCCCCAAACAATTTGAAATTAACAGTACTCTTAGCATCAGTGATTTAGACCTGTTGATTCTTGAAAGTTTGATGAGGCAAGGAGAGAGGCTTTTCCTAGTCTCTGAGATCTGTCATAATTTGATAAGGAAGAGATGCAAATTTTCTGAAAAAATTTTTTACAGATAAAATGTGTTTTCTGATATATTCAGCCACTGACATCTGTGTATTTAGGTTATGCTAAGACTGTTGAATCCATTTTATTTGTAGAAGCTAAAGAGATCTGATGGAAGAAGTATAAAAAAGTATTTTTGCCACCACAAAAGGAAATGAAAGAATCTCTCTTTAGCAATCTCAGAAAGACTAGTATACCTTTCAAATTTATGGAAAAATCTAATGGTACATTAGGAGCAATCATAGGGAAAGCAAAAGATTGTACTTAAGAGGTAGTTATAAATTCTGTCAAAAATCTATTGAGAACTTTGTAGTTACAGATTAAGAGGAATGAGAAAGACAAGGTTCAGAGAGACAAAGAAAATAATCCTAGTGTTTTATAACAAAAAAGTTAATCTAAAAGACAAAAAGTAGATGACCTTATGGCCTCATTTTTTTTTTCTGCTTCAAGGGGAAAGGTCCTATAACATGTTACATTTCAATTCATCTAATTCAAGAAATACTTATCAAGTGCCTGTAGTACTTATCAAAGTAATGTGATTGGAAATAGAGGATTTACAGAGATTTCTAATAGTACTAGTTACCATTTTGTGCTAAGCTCTTGTATTCAGTGGGGATGACAACAGGATAGTTATTGTTATCCCCATTCAAGAATGTGGGAACTAGAGCCCTAAGAATTTAAGAAACGTGCCCACGGTCTCAGAGTTGCTAAGAAGGAAGCTAGAATTCAAATCCAAGTGTGTTAGATCCCAAAGCACATTCTCTTTCCACACTATACTGTTTTGCCTAGTTGCCCTATTAGAAATTAGAACTAAGAAATTTTTTTAAATAACAATTTAAAAAATAGTAAACTTGTAACATATTAACATAATTATTTTTCTAACTTAGCAAGAAGAGTGGTATTGTTTTAAATTTTTGCAAATGTCTTTACTGTCTGGCTTAATTGAAGAAAGCTGGATTCTCATGTTTCATTTTGTACTTCGTCATTTGCAATGCCACAGGTCATATAGCCTCTAGAATACGCCACTATAAACTCATCAGAGAATGAGAATGAGCATCGACCTATGAACCAGGACATCAGGGTTGGATTCCCGGTCAGGTCACAGGCCTGGGTTGTGGGCTCGATCCCCAGGCCACAATTCTGGCACCCAGTCACGATCTGATGCTCCTGAGCTCCATAATTTAACTAATTAATTTTCTTTCTTCATTCTTATTTTCCTAGAGAGACAAATCTGACAAAATCAGAATTTATAAAATTTGAGAATGAGAACCTGAGTAAATTAGAATTTGTGTAGGAACTTAAGTGCTAACTCAAGAAAAATAATGGATTGTGGAACTTTACCCTAAATCCAGTATTAGTTTACTAGTTTACTAGGACTGCCATAACAAAGTACCACAAACTGAGTGGCTTAAGCAACAGAAATTTATTGTCTCATGGTTCTGGGGGCCAGAAGTCTAAGATCAGTGTGTTGGCAGGATTTGTTCCTTTTGGCTGTAAGAGAAGAATCTGTTTCAGAGCCCTCTCCTTGGCTTAGAGATGGCCATCTCCTCCCCGTTGACATAAGAAACGTTCAAATCTGTGGAGAAGTTTGTAAAAGTTTATTTCAGCCAAACTGACATCATGCCAGGAAGCAAGATCTCAGATGTTCCAGAGAATGACGGTTTTGCAGTTTCTTTTATAAATTTGGAACAAAAGAGGGAATGTATGGAAGATTATGTGAAAGTGAGAAAAGCAAGATACAGAATAGTTAACAAGATTATGTGCTCCCTCCAGGGTGGTTACTCCTTTGAGCTATCTACAAAAGAGGATTATTCTGGCATTTCAAGGTTGTGTTTACCTAGATGCATAAGAACAATGGACAGGGCTTGCTTCAGGCAAAGATAAACCTTTTTATAGGCGGTAGGTGTGACCTGCCCAGTTAGGGATTTATGATCTGGTAGTCACCCTGTGAGGTTACTTTCAGTCATATTTATTAGAGAGCCCCCTTTTCATCCATATCCCTGTGTCTTTACATCATCTTCTCTCTACACATGCTTGTGTATAAATTTTCTCTTCTTATAAGAACATCAATCAAATTGGATTACTCTCTACACATGCTTGTATCTGAATTTTCTCTTCTTATCAGAACACCAGTCATTGGATTAGGGGCCACCTTAATGACCTCCCTTTAACTTGATTACCTCTGTAAAGACCCTATCTGCAAATACAGTAACATTCTGGAAGTACTGGAGCTTCAACATGGGACTTTAGGAGGGCACAGTTCAACCATAACAGTTCATTTTCTCCTTTTAGCTTTAGTTAGAATATACTACATTTATTAAACAAATGCAGTAGTTCCTAAAGAATTTTTATCAGACACATTGAGAATCTAATGAAAACAGTGGACCTTCCCTCTGGAAAACACATATTAATCAAATTTACTATTATTCCAGAAAAATGTTAGCTATACAAAGCTACACACAGGGCATTATTGTAGTGTTTCACTTTACACTATCATTGTTTGAGAAGTAATAATTTTACACATAACTTTTAGCACTCTGTTGTATAAACAAAATATAAGCAATCCATTGAGAAGTAACTGTTATATAACAGTTGCCTGTCAAAGGGTTACTTTGTGAAACATCAGTCAGTTTCTTCATTTTGTTGGTTTTGTGACACCATCATCAGTTTAGGATAGAGTAAAAAGAAAGGTAGCTATGAAGACAATTATATGAAATTTATTTGTTCCTTAAGCATGATTATAATGCCTTTATTTGTACACAAACATAACAGCAATCATACTTTATTTCTGCCTAAGTATTTGTACTACATACCCTTTTATTGAACTTATTTTTAAGAATACATAACATGTTATCCGTTCATCTATAATGCTTATGTTAGTGAAAATAATTGTGGATGTGTGTTTGCTCTAGAGCAATTGTTCTCAACCTTCTGGCCCTTTAAATACAGTTCCTCATGTTGTGACCCAACCATAAAATTTTTGTTGCTACTTCATAACTGTACTGTTGCTACTGTTATGAATCGTAATGTAAATATCTGATATGCAGGATGGTCTTAGGCGACCCCTCTGAAAGGGTCGTTCAACGCCAAAGGGGTTTCGACCCACAGGTTGAGAACCGCTGCTCTAGAGTTTCTAGAAGAATGCTTCCTCCCCATCTGTGACAAACAGACCAAATTCAATTATATAGGTCATGCACAATTATTAGGTTCTTTTTGGTAGATATTAGGGGCCCCAGACAGTTGGAGATAGGTGAGGATTAGTTACTCCCCTACAACCTTATTTGCCAGTTTATAATGAAGCAAATTCTGTCATACATAAAAACATCTGTTAGCAAGGCATAGGTAAAACAGTATGATAAGCTTGTTTTATGAATTCAGTGAAATCCCAATGTCCTTTTTGGTGCTACATTTTATCTTATATTTTTTAAAGTATTATATATTGATTGAAGAAAAGATGAAAAATACAGAGGAGCGAGCAGAAGAAAAAAATCATCTGTTATCCCACTATTCAACAATGATAATTATTTATTATATGTTAGAAATTAAAGCCCATCTGTTTTTCTATGCAGTTGCTTTGCTTACATTAAAAAGAAAGACTTCTTATTTTATCATCTAAAATATAATATGATTATCTCCTTGAGTCATTAACTATTTCATAATGTGGTTTTTAATAGCTACATCAGATTCCATTGTATGGATAGACCGTAATTTATTTAAGCAATTCCCTATTGCTGGTCATTTAGAATAGCTCCAGTTTACTATTAAAGACTTTGTAGACTTAATTCCTTTGTTTTTCATACCTAGTCCTTATGTACCTGTCTACCTTTGGCTGTTAAAATGATAATCTCCTTTTCCTTCTCTTAAAGTTACAATTCTTATATAATTCATT